ATTTTCGAGCCTGAGACCTGAAAAACAGGCTCAGGGCTTAAGAGGTTAAAGCAGCGGGAGCAAACGCTTGCCTCGGGGAGGGAGAACAAAAGCCACAGTGGAGAATAAACAGAAGGGTAACCATGGTAACTATGGACGGGAAGTCTTCTTCGCTGCTTTTGTGGCAGACGACAGCGCCACTTACAGGCCTGGCATATGTACTACAGCGTCTCCAGCGCTTTCGAGCGGCAATGGCCGGCCGTGGCCCAACCCCACATTCCCCTGATAGGTGGAGAGTTGGCCCAATAGCCGTAGCGCCACTTCTGTGATGACATAGAAGTGTTCAAATCTGGATCAGTCTGTATCAGATCCGTTGCAGCCCCGTTTTTAGAGATTTGGGTATGGAGGAAAATAGAGAGGGTTGTGTTTTCTGACACTTGGTGAGTTCCCTGGAACACCGGGGACACATATTCATGTAGAAAAGACGTACAAAAGTGCATTTTGCATGATAGGTCCCCTTTAAATTAACTTGGTTAGAAAGTCCAAATGTGACTTTTTAATGGTAATAAAGATGTATTAGTGTTCAAGGCTCTGCAGATAACATTAAAATACCAAACCAAAAGGGAAAACATTGGGCATTTAAGTATTTATAACACTTGTTCGGCTTTATACAAAGTACATTTTCCTCGAATGTATTTAAGTTAACTATGTAATCTTAGTTTAATTAGGGGCCCCTTGCAGATTCTTAAAGCTTACCTGCTGGCCTCCAAGTAAAGACGGCAGTGTGTCTGAATCGAAATCCTGGGACGGCTCCTCCACAAAGCAGCAGCGATTCTCACTGACTGACCATGACAAAAAAAAACCTGTAGATTGTAAAGTACAACTATTATATCATGTGAACTAAATTGAACTCAATTCTGACCGTAAATAAAACAGTGGGGGGAAAAAACAATGTAGTCCACAGTGTCAATCATTAAATATATTTTTTTGTCTGCAAGGAAATTCACACTAAAAAGCCTATGTTTTTAAAATACACCCGTGATCGTATAAGAAATTAGAACAGCCACGGCTCCTTTAAAAAGGCTCATATCTATGTAAAAAACGTTAAAGGTCTCCTATTATACTGTTTTTCATCAATATATTATAGGTCTCAGATACAAAACATGTCTTTGAAGTGTTTGGCTCCAAACACCAAACAGATCATTGTAGCATCCCATAAACCCCTCTGTTTCAGCCCTGTTTCCAAAGTGCTGATTCTCTGTCTGTTACTTTAGATGAAAATAAGGAGCCCCTCCCCACGCCCCTCTGAGAGACATTTGGTTACAAAGAACACAATGGTGCTCTAGGAGGAGATTCAGGTGATAAGGTGGGGGGGGGTTACCTTGGTTGCTGATTGTCTAATGGTTACACAAGCCAAAAAAACATTAGGACATCATAAAGTGGGGGGGGGGATTGGGGGGGACATTGGGATATATATTTTTTTTAAATCCTCTGGAGCAGAGAGAGGAGCTGTGGATTATTGTTATTGATTAATGCATCAGTGTTTCTTAGGGTCAAAAACACTAAACTCACAACTTAAAATGAAAGCGTTTAGTTTATTTAATAAAAGAGCACATGTTCAATGTGAAAAGTGACAGTCGATATAGATTAGTTGCAATTTGGTGCTATATATGAAAAAAACACCTTGAATTTCAGGGGGGGCGCGGGGCTCCGTTGGTGGGGCTCCGTTGGTGGGGCTCCGTTGGCGGGGCTCCGTTGGCGGGGCTCCGTTGGCGGGGCGCAGCGCCCCTCCAAGACAATGGTGGGGGAAACACTGAGTAATATTGTGAACATGAATGTTAAAGTTTTGTATCTTTATCGTTTCTGTCATTCTAATTTAGAAAAATAAAACACCTCTGGGGTCATTTGGGTGCATTTTCCATATCTCTGGCCCCCCTCGGTCGATTTTGATGAGACAGAGCAGCAATGAGGAAAGACCAGGCAGGCATTTCTTTGAAATGAGGCGAGGGTCCCTTCTAGTTACAGAGAGAGGTGTACCTGCTTCACACTGACACACTGTGATGTTGAACACCGGGGTTGGAAGAGGAGGTGATTTTCACAACCAGTCATGTAATCCAACATATTGTCTTTCTTGTTGTAAAAGCTTTCTAGTATCTCCACTTTGACTCAATGTCATTTTAGGCCAAACACACATTCAGCAATGTGTTCAGAGAGTATTATTCTTCATAAAATAAAAATACTTCTTTCAATCTTTGAGCTTTTCCAGGGTGGCTAATAACGTTTTTCTGTAGTGTGTCAGCTCAAAACAGATAGGTGTGTCTGTTTTGTTAAACCAACCGCACATGCAACAATATGATTAATTGACTTAAAAATGATCGTATTGCTTCCGCTAAGAAGAAAAATATCGTTCCACTGCGTACCAATGGCAGGAAGTGATCATTGATTCGAGGTTTTCTGTAACCGTCCAAGTCTGTTCACAGTTTCATTTTTCTAAGGACAACAGTTTGATCTTTTAGAAGCCCCAACAGATGGTCCTATAGATGGTTTAAGCAAGCTGTCCTCATATTGGATCAACACAGATTTCCCATGTAATAATTCATTGTATAGGATTGTTTTCAGGCTTGTTTGTTTTGGTTCGCTACAGAGCACTGCAGTTCTTCTTTTAGAGGAGAGCATTTTAGAGACTTCTTCTAGCCGAGTCGATTTCATTCCTGATGGATTTACGAATACAGCTCTTTACAACTGGAAACCAAAACTTAACTCTGGATAATGAGTATGCATAGGATAAAACTACACCAGAATCACCTTAAGAAAAGGAGCGTTAAAATAGTCTTTACCAGATAAAGACTTCAATGTTAGGAAACTTAACTTGACTTAACTTAGAGAACTTAGAGAATCTGCTCTCTGTCTGCTATAAAATGTCCATTAAAAGGGAAAATGTAAAACATTGTACACTGCTGCATTGTTGGCAAAAAGCCGGCCAACGTGTACTACATCAACTGGTGATAGAAAACATTTAAAACTAATGGAGGACCGTGTGAAAATATAACAACAATAATAAATGTTTAATGTGTTTGTTTGTTTGTGTTTAAATCAATTGAATTATGAAAAGCTAAGTATAAGATGACACATAATGAGCAACAGTTTCTTGTGGTTAGTGTTTTTGCAGGAAATTCAATGTCAGTCATATCCTGTTGGCTTAATATAGCAAGACCGATGCAATGCTGCAAAACACTCATACACAGCGGGGGGGGGGGGGGGGGGGGGGGTTATGATTACTATAATTTTCTACTTACCAATGTACTCGTTAAAAACAGCTTCTGGTTAAAAAAGTCCCCAACTTCTCTTTCACAGATAAAAAAACATGAGTCATTTTATTACCCTGTGAATTAGTTTCACATTAGGGACCAGTCAGATTTCTGATGATGATTTTCTTAATTAACCAAATGAGGAATGATACAAAAAATATCTATTCTAAGTTTCTGACATGTTGTGTTTATGTCAGGGACTTCCTGATAATCCAAAGTGTATTTGTCTGTGTCTCTCTTTCTCACAACTTATTTCCTGTGTACTGTGAACGCTAAAAAAAATCTACATATAATGAGGAAGGAGCTTTGATTACTTAGCGGAAGAAAAAGAGGAAGGGCGGAGAGAAAGCTGGGGGTAGAAAGATTTAAGGTAAGGTACGACAGTAATTGGAAAACACAACACTCATACCAACGAACTGTAGAGACCAGTTTAATAATCTGACGGAGGATCTCAGCATCGGACAGCAGCACCATGAAGAGGCTTCTGCTGCTCTTCCTCTCACTGATGACAGGTACAAAGATTACTTATACCCAATAGCTGATTTGGATCAAATAAACAGTTTTCAAGATATTCTGCATCAAGTTTGAGCTAATTTTTTTATTTTATTGATCATAAATTGTTTAAAAGGGTGGTGGGGTTGGTGGAGCACTTTGAGGGCTCCATTGTCTATTTTGCTGGATGGAAAGTGGAGGGCATCCTGCTGATAGACCAGTGTTTCCATCACTTATCATTGGCGAGAACTCAAATAATATAAAGTATATCAAGATATGTTTGACCAATTACCTTGATTTCTATACAGAGATAATATTGTAGGGTTCTGACTCTTGAGTCCAGAGAAGAGGTTATTTTTAATGGATTCATCTTTTCTCTCATTGTGTTTACATCACTTCTCATTGGCCGAGGAGATTCAATTACATTTTCTATCTCAATCAATCTGAACAGACCCACAAAACAATGCATTATGGGTCTTTGTATTGTACATTATTAGATACAGACATGAGACTTTCTCTTTAAGATCCAAATACCTGAAAATTAGGACTAACACTGACTGAAAGGCAGTGCTGGAAGTTCTCTACTTACATCCACATTTGTGGAACTTTAGAGTATTTTTCAGATTACAAGATTACTTTTTTCGTAAATTGAGAATGAAAATGTCAAAATGAAGATCTTTTCAAAATAAAAGTATGTTAGTAATCGAGATGGAAACTGATATCCAAAAGGTACGGGGGAAAAAAGATGATAACTTAGCCGTGTGATTGAAAAAGATACTTTAAAATCATTATGCAAAAGCGTTCTGTACTTTAGACTACTGAGTCATTATTGAGAAATGTCTCATTATGATCATTTTGAGAAGCTCAACAATTATTTTTAGATATCTAATCATTATTTTAGCATATTAACTCATTCATTTAAGATACTAAGTCATTATTTCTTAGATATTAAGTCACTATTTTCAGATACTGTGTCATTAGGTTTGAGGTATTTCATCATTACCAAGATACCATGTCATTATTTTGAGATAATAACTCATTGTTTAAACTTTTCTAATTGAAATGACCAGAATATTCTCTTTGTCTTTCATCACAAGGCAACAAATCTAAATGTCTTCATTTTATTTTGTTACTCTACGTGCAGAGATGGCCTTCCTCAGTCAGGAAACCAATGTGTTGTCCTTAAATCTAGTATCACGTGAGCGTGGCAGCAGATCTCACCGACTCGATGGCCGCCCTGACGACTGACGGTTGCTAGGCACTGGATGTACGTCCTCGCCATGGAAACGGGCGGGGCCTTTGCGAGCTCATTGGTCAGGTGTTCAGTCAGCTGGGAGAAGAGGGCGGGGCTACAGCAGGGAACCAGGTGACCCAGAGCCAAGATGGAGCGCTTCCTCACCGCCATCCTGGAGCTGGTCAGCTGACGGAGGGATGGATGGATATTAGGTTTATCTGAAGGGTGTCTATTTTAACTCACAACCAATATGCAACGTGGGTAGGCAGTTCATTAAAACATCACTATTTTGAGATGCTTACTCTTTGTTTTCAGATACTAAACTTTGTTTTGTACATTCCCAAAGATATTGAAGTGACTGTTATTTTGTATATATTGATTGTTGTGCTTTTATCTTAATGTGTGCATATGTATAAATGTGTCTGTTGATTGTGTATATATAGGATATACATATTTTATACATATTTTCATATATCTTTGTTATAGTATTCTGTATTGTGGGAAACGGTATTTCGATCTCTCTGTCTGTACACACAAACTGAAAGATTGACAATAAAGTTGACTTTGACTTTTTTCCTTATCCTAATGACTTTATTGCATGGCTAGGTTTTCATTTCATTATAATATAACTTAATTAACTATGATTGATACAAATAAATACAATAAAATAACATATAATAATATGATCAAAAAAAACTATTATTGCTACTAATATTCTGATTTGATCATATATCATTTGATATGATATTCCCTCTTGTCTTTTGTTATATATGTGTTACCTGAGGGAGCAGACTGGAGAGCAGAGCGCTGTGGAACTGACCAGAGCACCGCTCAGCCTGTGAAAGACAAATGAAATCATTAAAAATCATTTTCTCTTAAGAACTTCCTCCACAGTTTTGAAATTGAACCAAAAAACATGATTTGTTTCAAGGACCTGTATCTGCACGCCTAACACCACCATGTGTGTTAACAACTAGTATGGAGGGATTTAATCCTGAAACACAGTGTGTATCCATCACATATGTCACCCTGTATGCAATTAATACATTTCAGTCACATGCACTGAATACTGGCTGTGCAGGAAATTGCATTTTTGGAGTAAAAACACACCGAGCTCAGTCATGTTGCTGAGTCGGTACTTCAGGTGTTTTATTTCAATGTGTTCCCGTCTCACCCTGCACACTTCATTTCCTCCTCATGCTTCCTTATCCCCTCCTTCCTTGCAGCCTTGTGTCCTGCCCTTCCTCTGTGTTTCAGATCCTCCTCCTCATCAGTAGGCTGGATGTGTTTCTCCACTCAGCCATATTAGTTGAATTAACATTGCCACAAGCAGACACAGCGTTTACTGCATGCACCATGTCGCCATGGAAACACACAACCTCACAAACACACACAAACAGACTTACACACACATACTTTGCATGTCAATTTGCAACGAACGTCACTGACAATCTTAAAGCAACAAATTACGTGTGTGAGAAAAATGCAAGGAAGCAAGTTACATACACACATAAAAAACATACATGTCAATCATCCTATTAATGTCACACACACACACACACACACAGCCACACACCACACACACACACACACACACACCACACACACACACACACAGCACACCACACAGCACACACACACACACACACACACACACACACTTACACACTTACCTATATCTGTCCACATCGATACGTCTAACGGTGCACTACGTAATGAACAAGCGTGTGATCAAAGTCGGGGAGTGTTTCAGGAATCTGTTATCAGTTTGTGTGTGTGTGTGTGTGTGTGTGTGTCCCTGTGTCTGTGTCTGTGTCTTGTCTGTGTGTGTGGTGTGTGTGTGTCTGTGGTGTGTCTGTCGTGTGTGTGTGTGTGTGTGTGTGTCGTGTCTGTGGTGTGTGGTGTGTGTTGTGTTGTTGTGTCTTGTGTGTGGGGGTGGTGTGTGTTGTGTGTCGTGTGTGTGTGTGTGTGTGTGTGTGTGTCTGTGTGTGTGTGTGTGTGTGTGTGTGTGTGTGTGTGTGTCTGTGTGTGTGTGCGTGTGTGAAGTATAATAGCCGTGATGTGTTATGAAGCTCTCTAAGCATTCATTAGGCCTTCATGCCTCCCTGAGTTTTGCAATTATTGTTGACCTGTAAGAGGAAGGATTGATTCTCCGAACATAACGTGTGGCTCCGCTGCTCCCCGGGCAGCATGCATCTGTTATCACACACACACACACACACACACACACACACCACACACACACACACACCAACACACACACCACACACACACACACACACACACACACACACACACACACACACCACACCACACACACACACACACACCACACACACACACCACACACACACAAAGTCATGTTGGCACCAAGAGTGTGTGAGACCTTTGAAGGGTGGAGAGTTTCTGGAGAGGAAGAGGAAGAAGATGAGGAAGAGGAAAAGATTTCTGGCAATCCTCTACGTCCCGATGTCAGAGATATAAACGGGAAGTTATTATACCATAACAAGTTTTTATTCTCAGGTGGCTTTAAGTTCATTTGTGTGGAAATACAGGTGGAATGTAACTACGTATATTTACTCAAACAAAGTGTACATTTTAAGTGCTTTTACTTCAATTCAGTGACTTCTTATCATGCTACGTTACTCTTTAACTCCACTATAGAGGGGAATATTGTACTTTATACCGCACTACATTCATTTAACAGCTTTAGCTATTTCACGAACGTAATATTTCCAGGTTTGGATCGGATAAAACTAACCAACAGTTTATACAACGTCAGCTTAGTCCATTAATCAATTAACCAATTAGAGACGAGGCTTTCATGAACATTTAAATATTTATTTCAGTAAATAATGTGTTTTTTTTTTATACGGTTCTCATGGACAATTAAGTATTTATTTTACTAAATATTATTCGTTTGTAAGAATCTAATTTTATCTGTGATAAGGCTTTTGTAATCACATACAAATATTCAAATAAATTGAAAGAGTACACACAAAAAGGCAGCCTTTAAAAGACTCCTCACGACCATCTATCTTCTGTTCCTCCGTACTTCCTCATAGAAGGTTTATTGTATCTGCTAAGCCTCGTAACAGCTGCCAAAGAGCCTTTTTATCTTGTTTAAAATGAAAAGCTTTACAAATGTTTCCCTCAACTGCAGAAACAAACAGTTCAATTCATCTGGAAACACGGAGAAAAAATAACATCTCTGTCCCATTCAGACACACACACACACACACACACACACACACACACACACACACACACACACACACACACACACACACAGACACCCCCTCCCGTCAACAATTTCCTAGCGGTAATTACTTGCGGCTCTGAGGTGAGTTTTCATTGCCAGTTGTGAAGTAGCTCCACACGACTCTCCTCTTTCTCTCAGCCATCATGCTCGTGTGTCGCACTCGAGAGTCGCTGGCTGCTGCTGTCCTGCTGGCTGCTGTCAGTCAGCTTGATAATGGAGTTCAGGCAGGGAGCGCGCTGCTCGTGCGCGAGCCTTGAGGAAAGGAGGAGAGCAGTGGAGAGAGAAGGAAAGAGCACATATACTTGTGTTTGTCTGCACTCTGCACATCGTTTTTGATGAAATTGACGAGGAGAGGAGAGAAAAAAAAAAGTATAAAAGGATCGATCCTATTGGCTCGAGTATCGATATTTTGAAACGTAACGTAATATCGGAAGTATCGATATTGTGGGATTGATCCGCCCACCCCTACTTTAAAGTAGAGACACTACATACTGATATACAGCTGAACATCAGCAGGAGAGGACTCTTTAAAGTAGAGACACTACATACTGATATACACCTGAACATCAGCCGGAGAGGACTCTTTAAAGTAGAGACACTACATACTGATATACACCTGAACATCAGCAGGAGAGGACTCTTTAAAGTAGAGACACTACATACTGATATACACCTGAACATCAGCAGGAGAGAACTCTTTAAAGTAGAGACACTACATACTGATATACACCTGAACATCAGCAGGAGAGGACTCTTTAAAGTAGAGATACTACATACTGATTTACACCTGAATATCAGCAGGAGAGGACTCTTTAAAGTAGAGACACTACATACTGATATACACCTGAACATCAGCAGGAGAGGACTCTTTAAAGTAGAGACACTACATACTGATTTACACCTGAATATCAGCAGGAGAGGACTCTTTAAAGTAGAGACACTACATACTGATATACACCTGAACATCAGCCGGAGAGGACTCTTTAAAGTAGAGACACTACATACTGATATACACCTGAACATCAGCAGGAGAGGACTCTTTAAAGTAGAGACACTACATACTGATATACACCTGAACATCAGCAGGAGAGGACTCTTTAAAGTAGAGACACTACATACTGATATACACCTGAACATCAGCAGGAGAGGACTCTTTAAAGTAGAGACATTACACACTGATATACACCTGAACATCAGCAGGAGAGGACTCTTTAAAGTAGAGACACTACATACTGATATACAGCTGAACATCAGCAGGAGAGGACTCTTTAAAGTAGAGACATTACATACTGATATACACCTGAACATCAGCAGGAGAGGACTCTTTAAAGTAGAGACATTACATACTGATATACACCTGAACATCAGCAGGAGAGGACTCTTTAAAGTAGAGACACTACATACTGAAATACACATTACATGTTACTTGTTAGACGCTTTTATCAATACTGTGGGCAATCCCCACAGGAGCAATTTGGGGTGAAGTGTCTTGCCCAGGGACACAACGACATGCTGACTGCAGTGGGGTTTGAACCTGTGACCCCCTGATCCGAACACCTACGGACAACCCACTGCGCCACACGCCTCCCTGAACATCAGCAGGGGAGGACTCTTTAAAGTAGAGACAGTACATACTGATATACACCTGAAGGTCAGCAGAACATGTCCTTGTGTGTGTGTCTGTGTCTGTGTGTGTGTGAGTGTGAGTGTGAGTGTGAGTGTGAGTGTGTGTGTGTGTGTGTGTGTGTGTGTGTCTGTGAGTCTGTCTGTGTGTCTGTGTGTCTGTGTGTCTGTGTGTGTGTGTGTGTGAGTGTGAGTGTGAGTGTGAGTGTGAGTGTGTGTGTCTGTGTCTGTGTCTGTGTGTGTGTGTGTGTGTGTGTCTGTGTCTGTGAGTCTGTCTGTGTGTCTGTCTGTGTGTCTGTCTGTCTGTCTGTCTGTGTGTCTGTGTGTGTGTGTGTGTGTGTGTGTGTGTGTGTGAGTGTGAGTGTGTGTGTGTGTGTGTGTGTGTGTGTGTGTGTGTGTGTGTGTGTGTGTACCTGTGATACGTGCATGTCGCTCTCATCCACCAGACCCGGCAGCTCGCTCAGGACCGGTTCCAGCGCGGCAGGTTTGATGTTTGCAGCCTGATGCGTGATGATCGAGGTGAGACAGGCCAGCGTCCCGAGCTTCAGAACTCGCTCGTTCTTTCGGAGGAAAGATCCCAAAACTGAGAGCGTCTCCGGCAGGATGGAGGACAGGTCGATCTGAGAGAGGAGGAAGAAATGTTTACAGCAGGGGTGTCAAACTCAATTTCATGGCGGGTCACATTAGCATAAAGGTTGCACTCAAAGGGCCGGTTGTAACTATATAAATATATAATATATATATAAAATAATGTATTATATTACATTATTGCCTCTGAATTGGATTATTATCGGATAGGATAATAACTTAGTAATTGACTACGTCTGAAAGCAGAAGTCCAGGGCAAATAATTGCAAGTCTCGTCAGTGCGCATGTCACAAAACGAGATGCATTGTGGGACATGTAGTTTATGGGCAACCTGCTTCTGTA